ACAGAGAAACCCTCAATACAGAGAAGCCCTGCCTTGAAAAACAAAACAAAAACAAAAACAAAACAAAACAAAAAAAAGAGGTGGGGGGGGCTAGGCCCTGCCCTGGACTTTGGACTTTGGAGATCTCCCATGGAGGACCTCACCGTCCCTGGGAAGCAGCAGAATGGGAATTGGGCAGGGAGCGGGGGAGGAGGGGAGTGTGAGGGAGCTGGGACTGATCAGTGAAGCAAGCTCCTTTCTAAATTAAAAAAAAAAAAAGAGGCAGAGGCATATGGGGGCAGGTAAGATGACTTAGCAGTCAAGAGTGCTCACTGCCTGGAGAGGATGAAGGTTTGGTACTCAGAACCCACAACAAGGGACTCACAACGGCCTATAGCTCCAGTTCCATGGGATCCAATGCCTTCCAGCCTGAGGTCACCTGTGAGTACACAGTGCCCAAACTCCTGCAGACACCCACACACATACATACACCTAAATCTTGAAGACAAAGAAGCTTAACAGATAGATGTGGTGAACACCTGTCAACAGCACATGTGGACTGACCCTGTAGAATGGAGAATTCCAGAGGAGTCCAGGGCCAGGTAACAAAAAGGAGCACATATACAAAACTAAAAATCGTGTTGTGAGAAACGATCTATGCTGAATTTTCTATATAGTCGCCCACTTAGATATTCCCAAAGTCACTGTGGTGATTCACTTTTCCTGTTCCCCGCCCCGCTTTGGCTCCCACAGTAATCACTGGAGCAGAATTAATGTTCAGCATTTGGAACTATTTTCAAAACTGAGCTAAAGGGGGCTGAAGAGCTAGCTCATGGGGCAAAGTGCTTGCCTTGCAAGCATGAGAAACTGAGTCTGAGCCCATGGAAAAGAAGCTGGACATGGGGCTTAGACAGGAGAATCTCTTGGGGCTTGCTGGCCAGCTAGCCTAGCCTGGGCAAACCTTAGGCTAGTGAGAGACTCTGTCTCATCAAGACGTACATGGGGCCGGGTGAGATGGCTCAGCACTTGCTGCTAAACCTAATGTCCTGACTTTGACTCCCCAGGACCCACAGGGTAGGAGAGAAGTAATCCCTGAAAGCTGCCCTCTGACCTTCACACCTGCGCTGCAAATACAAGCACATCACACACACTCAAACACACAGTTAAAAATGAAAAATAAGACGCTTGCACCCTGGCCTCCATGCACACACAAGCACGGGCACTCTCAAATACAGAGAATGAATGGGTAAGGTTTTTGAGGTAAGGTTACCTTTTGCTTACTTAGAACCAGATAAGGTTTCTTTTGGTTTCCATAGTTCCCAGTGAAGTAATTTAAACAATGTCTCAAGAATGAAATCTTTGCCTTTAATCCCAGCACTCGGGAGGCAGAGGCAGGCGGATCTCTGTGAGTTCGAGGCCAGCCTGGTCTACAGAGCGAGTTCCAGGACAGCCTCCAAAGCTACAGAGAAACCCTGTCTCGAAAAACCAAAAAAAAATAAAAAAAAAAAATGAAATCTTTGTCTGAAAGCCTTGTCCTGAGACACAATGATGGACATGAGGAGAAGGTGGTCGCTTTTCTAAAGACACCAGGTAGTTAGGACGTAAACAGGAGAAGCCCCTTCTCAAAGCTTTAGTCAGAGTTGCTGGGACAAAGCCATTAAACACTCATTAGACACAACACCAATATGTTTCTGTGGCTTGTTGTTCTTGGTTTGTTTTCATACAGGCAAAATGGTTATGATTATCCCACATTAATGATACTCTGCAGTATCATTAGGGATACACAAGCATCAACTGTAAATTAGTTTTTAGCTAATGTGCTCCTTCTGCCCCTAAGAGAATGTCATTTCTCAATTTCTCTTTCATTTTCAGGCAGGCCTTGCATGGAATTTTCCTCTCTTCATTCTGATGGATTAATACATAGTCACGTGTGCCTCGTATTGCCTTCCTCTGGGAGGCTGGGTACTTCCATTTCCTCCTCCTGCTTCATCTTTGTCACGTTGTAAACTGTGACAAAAATCCTCTTCATGGTCCCTCTGATCACTATGCTAATGGGAGAGCCCAGAGAGGAAGGAGAGAGAAAGAGAAGGGTGGCAGAGAGATGGGGGAAAGGGAGGAAAGAGGGGGGGGGAAGAGAATGGAGATCACGAAAGCAGCTGGGAGCCCTGAGTTGTAACCATCTCCATGGAAACAGTTCCTTAGCGATCAATCTGGAAACAATTCTGCAGGCATCACTGGAGCAGCAGGGTCCAATTGCACCAACCCCTACTAACAGGGTTCAAATGTGTGAGGGAGGAACAGGATTTTTTATATATACTAGTAAACTAAGAAGCTAAGAAAAATTACATTTACCACCGGTAATGCATCTTTAAACTAAAAGATTCCTACTCGCTGTAACAAAAAGGCAAAAGGCCTTTTAAATCTTCACAGTGCTTGTAAAGAGTGCTCACCATCAAGAAATTATGGAAAACAAAATACCTCCAAAAGAAACATCACCATTGGGTGGTGCAAAGCCATACATCAGAATCATGAGGATGATTGAGGAGGTCACCCATAACCACACAAAGTGTGTGCAAAGAATGTCAAATTCATTCAGGCCCTAAGTAGACTGAACTCCAGGAGAAGAGTGAAAGGGATTACAGAATTCCACCTACCAAATCAGGTTGAAAGACTGAAAGAAGAAGCCATGTAATTTAAACCCATGGAAGGAAGGCCCAGGGGAGAATTCACCCTAAGTGTGGAGCTTGGAGTTTTATTAATAAACCAATTACTTTTTAAAGGGAGAACATGCTTTAGGTCCTAAATTTAATCCCTAGCTATTAAAAGAAAGGGGAGACCTTGGGGGGGTTATAGTAATAATAGGATAACCAAGCCTCAGCAGAAGTCTATAACCAGTAAACTACTAACTTACTTGTAATCCCCTCCCAAACACACACACACACACAGTTTAGAGTTATGTTACTCTGGCTCTATCTCTCCGGGAACTATTTTTACCTGTTTGGGGATTAAGAGCAGCATCTGGGGAATGAATGCCACCTTGTAGGGCTGTAAGGACACAGATTTCATGGAGGTAGGAGGATCAGGAGTTCAAGGATATCCTTGACTACCCAAGAACAAAAACAAAGACAGTAAGTTATAAATAAACCCTTACGGCTCTGCAACTTCTTTTGGTTTTCCTGTCTGTAATAATAATTACACTGTTCCCCCCACCCTTTTCTCTGAGGAATATTTTGGGTTAAAGTCAGTATCGTGCTAAAAGCATTTAAGTAGGTTTGAGCTGTGAAATAAGAAGTTTCCATAACAGAAACTAAGTAATTGGCCTCCTGGCTCCAGCCTAAACACACACACACACACACACACACAAATCTCATGGTAAATAAAACCCATCCTTCTACACTGCTAATGTACCCCACCCAACCCCACTCCACTCCTAATGGGCTTCCCAGTGTCTTTAGCACAAAGACATCTTTGAAGTGCACCTTGAAGGGTGACTGTATCACACCCCCATTCACACTCACGTTTACAGCCTTAACCTGTCCTGCCTGGCCTGAGACTAAACTCATCCTCTCTTTGCCGGTGACTTGCTTTGCTCTAAGTCTGTTATCCCAGGACTGCACCTTCCCAGATTTTCGATGTGCCATTTGAGTTAAATCTTAAAAGACCATAAATGTGTCATGAGGAACCTTGGTACCAGCACGGCACCCCAGAAAGCATGTCTTAGGTGTCTCCTGTAGCATAATTTCCAGGTACACCAAACTATCTAGAAAACGAGCCACTGATCTGTCACTGGGTTTAATGAAGAGAAATAAAAAATTAAACATGGCAGGTAAGAAATCAACCAAGAGGTCAAGGCTGGCTAGGCAGGAGAGCAAACCCCCAGGCTAGGACCGAAATCCTGCTCGGTGTGTTTGCATCGGTGTTTCTGTATCTCCTCAGGCGAGACACCCATTCTTTCTGATTGCATAACGCAAACATGGTGGACAAGAAAAACCTTTCCCTGGTTTTGGGGGGGCAGAACCACGTGGCTCCTTCCACGCAGGGGCAAGGGCGGGCCTTTACGGGATTTAGTCCCAGTGGAGCGGGAACGAGCCTCAGCAAACCGCGACACCACGGTTCCTCAGAAGCGTGGGAGCGACAAGAGCGGGCTCGGAGGATCTGAAGGCTGTCGGGTAAGCCAGAGCTCCGGAGTCCGCCTCAGCCCCCGAGCCCGGACCCCTCCCGCTTCGGGCCCCGAGCCCGGACCGCGCCCGCTACGGCCCCGACCGGGCAGGCCCCCGAGTGCGCAGGTGCATTCCGCCCCGCCCCCGCCGAGGCCGTCCTGTCAGTCATGTCTCGCGAGAGCAGCGCGGGCCGCCCGGGGCGCTTCGCCCCGCCCCCCCCCCCTCACTCGCCCCCTCCCATCCCCCCATTGCCAGTGTCTTGTGCTGCGCAGCTCCCTCAGCGGTTGTCGCCGCCGGAGACGGTTGGGAGGGAACAACCGTTGTCGTCGGGAGCGCTCCCCGCGGACCAGCCGGCCGTCCCTGCCCGCGAGCGTTGGAGTCGGCGTTACTAGCGCCCCGCGGGGTATCTGAAGTAGAAGGGGGTAGGTTGGGCCGGCGGTGCCGACAGCGAGCCGAGTCGGGAGAAGGCCGAGGCGACCGGGAGCGGGTGAGGGAGTGTGGAGTCGGCGGGCCTCCGGCAGGAGGGCCGACGCCGCGCTCTCCAGCCGCTCGGCCGCTCTCCCCGCCGCTCGGCTGCCGCCATCTTGGGGCCGGCCGGTGGCTGCCGGGGTCGCCTTCCCGCCTTTCCCCGCTCGGGCTACTTGGTCGTCTCCAGCTTGCGGAAAGGGTTGGGGAGGCCGGGGGTTGGGGAGGGGTGGGTGTTGGTCCGAGCTCTCCGGTGGGGGTGAGGGTGGGGGAGCTCGGCGAGCAGGGAGAGCGGGGCGGCGGGACGCGCTCCCGGTGGAAATGGCGCCCGGCGCGGCGCGGCCCAGCCGGACCTCCCACAGCGGCCTCCGGCCTCCGTGGTCTCGGAGGGGCTACCTGGGCTGGCGGCGCTGCTAGTGACTGCTGACGCCGTTTCCCGGGGTGAGACAGGTGGAGCTGGGGAGAGGAGCAGCCGACGGCGGGCGGCGAGCGCGCTCCACTCCCAGATGCAGGACAAAGGCGGACACGGTCCTCCTTTGTAACTCCGCCGCTCGGTGGCGGAGGCCTTTTCTCCCGGCCTGGCCGAGGGCCGGAGGCGGGGCGTCCCCGAGCCTCTGGTCTCTAGGGCAAGCTAGATAACGGAAAGTCTCCGGGAGGAGATAAAGGACGCTTAGCCGGTCTTTATATTCCAGATTTGGAACTGCGGAAAGAGTACGTACGCATCTCCAAAGGATGCCCCCCCCCCCATACACGCATCAGATGTTTACCAAGAGTTTGTGATTTTGTAAGATAAGGGAATGGCTTATCCAGTAGAATAGGGTGAATTGGGTATGTTGCAAATGGGCCGGGACCGGGTGAACTGTGGGACTGCTTTTAGGTCGGGGTGGATAGTTAAGGTTTTGTTGTAGGTAATTCACCACGAGTTGTGTTTTGTGTCAACTTGTAGTTAAGACCGGAAGTCAACATTTGTTTTCATTTGATGGCTAGGCATGCTTAAAATAAGTATTGAACTGTGATGTTTTGGGAAAAAAAACACACAAAAATCTAGTCTAATTGCGTGCTTGTGGCGGTGATTTTCATTGAAGATGGGTTAGAAAGGAAAAAGAACACCCTGGGCCAAAAGCAGATCCTTAATGGGCTTTGAAAATGCCAAGAACTCAGACTCTAATGTAAAGAACCGATAGGCCCACATTTTCTTTGTTGGATTACATTGTAAACATCTTTTTTTGTTTTGTTTTTTCAGACAGACTCTTGAAATTAGCGTGCAACTGGATATATACAGGAGACTCTGCCAACAAGATAGTTTTGTTTTGAGATAGGGTCTCTGTAGACTATTCTGGCCTTGAAATTTGAGGACCTTGATGTTTCTGCCTCCTAACTGCTGGGATGACAGCTGTGAGCCACCACCATACCCAGTGCATAACATCCATCAGCCTCTGTTTAAAGAGATATTTCTATGGATTTTAATACATTACTAGTTGTCAGACTATCACAACTTTTTGTTTTGTTTTTTGAGACAGGGTTTCTCTGTGTAACAGCCCCAACTGTCCTGGAATTTACTTTGTAGACCAGACCTGAGTGCTGGGATTAAAGTCATGTGCCACCACCACCTGGCTCTTAACACTCAATTTTAAAAATGCCTTTATCATTTCAAAAAGATAAACATACTAACAGTTATTCTATGCTGACATGTTCTCTATTTCAAACCTTGGAAATCACAGATCATTTTTTTTATAGTTTTTTATGTTCTGGGTATGTGTATAATTGGAATAATATGTAGTCTTTTTTTAAATATATTTTTAACTTTATTTTATGCACATTGGTATGAAAGTATCAGATCCCCCTGGAACTGGAGCTACATACAGACAGTTGTGAGCTGCCATGTGGGTGCTGGGAATTGAACCTGGCACCTCTGGAAGGAACAGCCAGTGTTTTTAACCACTGAGCCATCTTCCCAGCCCCAATATGTAGTCTTTTGTGATTGAATTTTTTGCTTCTTTTAGGAAGTTATAGTTAAGTGTCAAAAAGTTGGCCTCATTTTAACTCCTAGTATTTTTAATTGGTACTGACACTTGGGAGGTTTTCTGGTAGTGTTTTGTTGCTTACTCAGGCCAGCCTGTGACTCCTGGGCTGAAACCACCCTTCTGCATTAGCATCCACTATAGTTGGGTCACAGGCAAGGGACTGCACCTGTAATGTTCTTGGATTTGGGAATGGTGGTGTAACTCAGGTTGTTTCCTGTCTCGATGTCTAGAATTAGGGGCCTAAGAATAGGATCCCTAAAGCAGTGTAGTGAATAGTTTATGACACTGTTGCAAAGAAAGGTTGAAGTGGAGTATTTTAAATGGTAAACAGTTGCATAGCCTCCGAAAGCCTTTTTAAGGTATTAGAACAAATTGCTCTTAGTGTTTTAGTAGGATTCTAGAATTGAGTTTAAAGGTATGTTAGAGCAAGGCTGTTTCCTTATTGACTTCAGACTTGGAATGGAAAGTCACCTTATGAGATGGTTTGTGGTCCAAATCTGGTTGACTTTTCCCAGTAAAATTTTGTTAATTGAAGTCAAGACCTGATGAACAAAACTTTTCCTCTAACCTCCACACTGCACTGAGGTATGAGTGTGTTCCCATATACAAGCATATCCACAGACTAAAAGCATTATTTGCAGTTTGGTGGTTTTCAGAGAAATCTTATTTTCATAAGAACTTTATTGTTGACACTAGCAAAACTGGTGTGTTAAATTTTACACACACACAAAAGAGCTTTCTCCCTTGGATTTGCTACTGAAATATTAGTCTTTCCCCCATTTTTATTTTGGGTGGGGTGTGTGTGTGTGTGTGTGTGTGTGTGTGTACACGAGTGTGTGTACGAGTGTTCCTACTATGAATGCACGGTGCCAGAAAGTCTTTAGAGTGTCAGACCCACAGGAACTGGGTTATACAAGGCTGTGATCCGCCAAGTGATACTGGGAATAGAACCAGGTCCTCTGCAAGAGTAGCCAGTGCTCTTTATGATGAATTTGTCATCACATTGAGGGGAAGGACTATCCTAAGCTGCTGTGGTAGCACCTGTATTCCCATTTGAGAGTCCAGTTCAGGTTACAGAGTAAGACCCTGCCTTGGGTGGGGACCAGTGTCTCCAAAAGAAATGCTTTTAAGAGTAGATTTAAAGAATAACTAAGGAGGAGGCTTTGTTTGTGGCTCTGGGATGTGAACTGAGCTTACAGCCTCAAGAATGCTAAGTAGGCATTCTACCATTGAGCTGTATTAAGTTTTGTTTGTTTTTAAGAAAATAATGGAGATCTTCAAAAATATTCTGAGCTTTTATTTCAAAGTTGATTTGGTGCTGTCTTTCAAGGATACTCTAGAATGGGGTTAGACATCAAAACACCTTTAATATTTTCTTGTTTCTTTTCAGGACTGAATGGTTTTCGGATACAGTTGACATTTTGTGGAGCATCTTACTGTGGTTTTTGTTTTGTTTTTTGTTTTTCGAGACAGGGTTTCTCTGTATTGCTTTGGAGGCTGTCCTGGAACTCACTCTGTAGACCAGGCTGGCCTCCAACTTAGAGATTCACCTGCCTCTGCCCAAGTGCTGGGATTAAAGGCATGCGGCCGCCACCAACTCCCAGCACATCTTACTGGTTTTACAGCAGTGGTTTTCAGCCTGTAGGTTGACTAAGGCTATTGAAAAACACACATTTACAATTTATAACAGTAGCAAAATTACAGTTATGAAGTAGCAACAAAATTTTATGGTTGGGCATTACCACTACATGAGGAACTGTATTAAAGGGTCGAAGCATTAGGAAGATTGAGAACCACTGCTTTACAGAATCCATAGTCTTTAATTGTCAAAGGTTCATCTGAAGCAGAACAACAGAATACAAGTATTCTTGTAAAATACAGCAATGGGTATCGATACCATACTTAACCTACTGCTGTTTTGGTTTTGGAGACGGGGTTTCTCTCTGTATCCCTGATTATCCTGGAACTCCATATAGACCAGGCTGTCCTGGCACTAGACTGACTTTGAACTCACTGTCACCTAGATGCTGGAATTAAAGACATGTGCCACCTTGTAGGGCCTCTTTTTTTTTTTTTAAAGCAAGTGCACTGAAGAATCAGTTATAATGCCAGTTTTTAAGCTGTGTTTTCACCATTTTGGTTCTATTAAGAGTGTTACCTTCTATGGTATTTGCTTTATAGCTGGGTCTGGCTTTTTCTCTCAGCAGGGCTTAAGGTTCAGTCACCAGTACACACAAAACACATGCTGATGATATATACATGTAGAGGAGAAATTAAAGATTGGCTTACTTTAATGCATGTATTATTTGGGAAAAGATGTTTAGAATGTAATCCAAGGATTGGCACATGGTAGACATTCTATCATTGAGCTATATTCATTGATGCATGAATTCTAGAAGAAATTCATTTCCTTCTCCCCAATCCCACCCCCCTGATTTTTTGGAGACATTTTTCCTCTGTGTAGCCCTAGCTGACCTTGAATGCATTTTTCTGCCACCATGACAAGCTCTAGCTTTGTTTTATTTTTTCTTTTCAAGACAGGGTCTCACTGTATAGCTTGACTGTACTGGAACTTACTATGTAGACCAGGCTGGCCTCAAATTCACAGATATCTGACTTGCTTTGCCACCAGAGTGCTGGGATTAAAGAGGTGCACTCGGTACTACCTCCAGTTTTTTGTTTCGAGACAGGGTTTCTCTGTGTGACTCTGCAGCCTGTCCTGACACTCATGCTATATATAGATCTGCCTGCCTCTTCCTCCTGAGTGCCTCAGTCAAAGAGGCGCACTGCCACAGCCCGGGCTTTATTTTTAAGGGCAGAGTCTGGCCTTGAACTCCTGAACCTCCCAGGGCTGGGATTGTTGTAGTGTGCTACCATAAAATTTGTTTGTTTTGTTTTTTGAGACAGGGTTTCTCTGTATTGTTTTGGAAGCTGTCCTGGAACTCACTCTGTAGACCAGGCTGGTCTCGAACTCACAGAGATCCGCCTGCCTCTGCCTCCCAAGTACTGGGATTAAAGGCACGTGCCCGACACCATATGATTTTAAAAAAATTATAATTAACTCTTTGTAGATGCCACCTCTAACTGATGATAGGAAATTCAACCATTAGTGAATCGTGTTGATATACCTTCAGGCCTAAAGGAATCAATTGAAAAAATTGTTTTGTTGACGGGAGGAGGTAGTGAGGGAAAGATTGGAATATTCAGGTGAGTAGGATTCCCACATCTGTGTAGTGAAGTAAGCAAAGGCTGGTAAGTTTCCACAGCTGCGGAACTTCTGCATTAGACTCTAGAAATATTTGGAATTTTGGAAGGAAAGTGGCTGCCTCTAGGTAAGGGATCTGGCTAGCTTGTGTGTTCCTTGGAGGATACAAGGAGCTTTGTGCTGTTCATTTTAAATACCATGTGAGTGTTAATATGTTGCCTTTGGGTAAACTGCAGTGGTGACACTAATTCCAGCACTCCAGGGCTGAGAGATTCAAAACCAGCCTGGTTCTTGGTCACCCTGTCTTAATCCCCCACCCCCCATGTTATTGTTAAAAGGTACTCATCTGAATGTTTGTTGAAGCAGTTTCCTTGTAGTCCTAGCTAGTCAAACTCAATCCTTCTGCCTTAGCCCCCAAGTACAAAGAAAGATCTTGGGCATGTACTTACTGTCTATCATAGTCCATATATCATTTGGTTTTGAGGTGTTTTTTACTTGTCTTACTTTTTGAGGCAGGGTCTTCTACCTAGGCTACCCTCCAAAGGTAGTCAAAGATGACCTTGAGGGCCACCTGGCTTTTTTTTTTTTTTTTTTTTTTTTTGGTTTTTCAAGTCAGGGTTTCTCTGTGGCTTTGGAGGCTGTCCTGGAACTAGCTCTTGTAGACCAGGCTGGCCTTGAACTCAGAGATCTGCCTGCCTCTGCCTCCTGAGTGCTGGGATTAAAGGCATGTGCCACCAACGCCCGGCAGCTACCATTTTTTTTTAACACTCAAACCTCAATATGAATAGGTGATTATACTATAAACATCTTTCATGTGATTATTATTATTTTTGCAGTTGGGTGGGTGACTCAGGTAATCTTAGCTCTCATAGCTGAGGCAGGAGGACTGCTTGAAGTTGAAAGCTAATCTGAGCTACAAAGTTAGACCCTTGTTTTGAAACAGACACAAGCTAGGTATAGTGGGTACAATGACATCCTGTCTGCAAAAATAAAAAAGAAATTCCATAGCTTTTGTCAATATTGAAGTCTGGGAAGTTTAAAAAAAAAGTGGTATGAGACAAAGAATAAAGTGTGTTACGACAAATCTTACTCTGTTGGTAGAATTCAGCGAGCTTTTATTAGATCTTCATGGCTCTTTGGTATGAGAGGGGTGAGTTTCATTCCCTTTCCCTACCCCACCCCAAAGTAGAATGTTAGTATAGTGTTGCTGATTGTTGTGGGAATCAGCTTGCATGCATTGTGCTGGGATACTTGTGAGAGGTGTTCAAGTCTTGGTAAGAGTGTGTTGTGATTGACTGCTTTATGTGCTTGTTTATTTTCATAGCATTTAAATCAAGCGGTATTGAAATGGATTGGGTTATGAAACATAATGGTCCAAATGACGCTAGTGATGGGACAGTGCGACTTCGAGGATTGCCATTTGGTTGCAGCAAAGAGGAAATAGTTCAGTTTTTCCAAGGTACCTCTAGTACTAGTCAAAGTTTAGTAATATTTTAATTGTATGTGTTTTTTATTAGATGGTTTTTAATTTATAAAACTCATTTGATTTTGGGACTTTTGTGATAATCTGGGTTATATTATAAAATGGAAAATGTGCTCCAGTTAATTCAGTAGAGAATGTATAGGCTATGTAAACGATGATTGATGTATAGTATAGTTAATTGAGAGTAACTGTGATGGCATGGGTTATGAGTTAGCATTGGGAGCACAGTTAAATGATTTGTAGCTTTTCATGTAGTGGGCTTTTGGAAGTATAATTTTAAGACACTGATCACAGAAAATATTTAATCCAATGATATTTGAAAAATATTCCATTTGTATTATGGGGTGATGGGAAACTAAGCATTTTTGTTTTGTTTTGTTTTGTTTAGACTTGTTTTAAATATTTGATTCAGATGGGAATGTTTCAGCCTTTAACACTGTTCCCCTTGATGGGGTATTTGTCCTTGGGTTAAAGGGTTGGAAATCGTGCCAAATGGGATAACATTGACGATGGACTACCAGGGGAGAAGCACAGGGGAGGCCTTCGTGCAGTTTGCTTCAAAGGAGATAGCAGAAAATGCTCTGGGGAAACACAAGGAAAGAATAGGGCACAGGTGGGGATGGAGAGTTTGGGATGGTGTTAAATTTTTATTTTTGGGGGTTGTGGGTCACTATTGCTTAAATGGGGGGGTAACCATAACATTTTTCTGGGGTAGTATTAAAGAATTGATAATTACCTAAATTTAACATGGAAACTACAGATTTGGGAGGGGAAATTATGCTAATAGTTTAAATTAAAATTAGATTGTTTCCATTTCTTTGTAGGATGTTGTTAAATTTGTTTTTGTATAATCACCTGTTTTTCTTACATACCTATCTTGTGCTAAAGGAAACAAACTAAAAATATATTAATAATTCAGTGTTTTCAAATTACTCATTTATGTAAAACTTAAATATTTAATTATTTAAGTTTGTAGGTGTAAAATGTTACCTTATGGTTTATTTAGGCAATTTAAATTGGGTTATGTACCTATATGTAGACAAACTTACTGTATTTTGCCCAGTATCTAATTTACTCTCTAATACATCTATGCTGAAGCCTGTACTTTAAACCTTTTTAAATAGGTATATTGAGATCTTCAGGAGTAGCAGGAGTGAAATCAAAGGATTTTATGATCCACCAAGAAGATTGCTGGGACAGCGACCAGGACCATATGATAGACCAATAGGAGGAAGAGGGGGTTATTATGGAGCTGGGCGTGGAAGTATGTATGACAGAATGCGACGAGGAGGTGATGGATATGATGGTGGTATGTGTATCTAATGAACAAAGGTTCTGTTGTCATTTTCTTGATGTTCCTGACACTTTGTCAAGAAATACAGAAATGGCAGTAATTTCAGTACCTATGAGGTTTTAAAACCTGTTCATGAAATTGTGGGATTTCCACCATGGAACTTGATTGATGCACATATTAACACCTAGAAAACTTAATGTAGAAATAAAGATAACTGGCATGTTTCTTCTGGACATAAAGATGACATTTGGGTTTCATGTGTTTGAATTTATCCTGTGGATGATTACATTTCCATCAAGGGTTAACTGCTTTTGCTTTTCCCATATGCAGTAAGTTGCAAACATTAGTTGAAGAAGCTAAAATGATTCACTACAAAATGATTTTTACAAGATAAATTGCTCAGAATGGTATTTCTTTTTCCTTACATTTGCACAGGCTATGGAGGTTTTGATGACTATGGTGGCTATAATAATTATGGCTATGGAAATGATGGCTTTGATGACAGGATGAGAGATGGAAGAGGTAAAAACTAAGAATATCATCATGCTGAATAAATTTTACTGTTTCCTTTATAAGGTGCCAGTAGTAACTAAGCAACTTTCAGAAGTAATTAGGCAACTTTGATGGGATAATAGAAACTTGTGTCATTGCGCTGGCTTGTTGATTTATGTGTGCTTACCATGAACCCATAATGGTTTATAATTTAGGCATGGGAGGACATGGCTATGGTGGAGCTGGTGATGCAAGTTCAGGTTTCCATGGTGGTCATTTTGTGCATATGAGAGGGCTGCCTTTTCGTGCAACAGAAAATGATATTGCTAATGTGAGTAAGTGGTATATCGTGGGTATTTTTATTATTCTTGGTGGGGAGGTCTTCACTGTAGCAAGTGAGATTTTAAGCAGATTAAAAAAAGCCTCAGTTAAGAATAGAGTCAATCATTTGCCTTTAGTAGTAGGGTCTGAAAACAACCCCAAACTTGAAGATGCTCTTAACTAACCATGCTCTGTCATGGAACTGTATTCCCAGTTTCACAATTTTCATTTAGTTTAGTATTGTCTTACTGTAAAACTAGTAAGTGCTTTGCATTTTAAAAAATGCACTCCTTCCCCATGTGAGCCAAGTGGGACCACCTCTGTAGCAAAGGATGACTCAGCCTACTTCCACAATGCTGGAGCCTTTATAGACCCTCAGTAGTTTATTTTAGTGGGTTAGGGAAAATTAAAGTATGTGCTAATTTTAAATAACTGGAATTTAAAAATGAGTAACTTTTATTTAGTTCTTCTCACCACTCAATCCAATACGAGTTCATATTGACATTGGAGCCGATGGCAGAGCAACAGGAGAGGCAGATGTAGAGTTTGTGACACATGAAGATGCAGTGGCTGCCATGTCTAAAGATAAAAACAACATGCGTAAGTGGTATCTTTGGCATTTATATATATGTTTTATAGGTATGTGCAGTTTACTTGTTAAAATGTCTGTTAGATCCCAGGGCTTAAAAATCATTTGACCTATATTTTATGGATAAGCCTGCTTTAAATACTAGCTAATCGACCTTTAATTGATATCCCTTTAAATTTTATCCCTTTCTCTACTATTCTGACCTTTTCCCTCTCCTCTCTTTTAAAGAACATCGATATATTGAACTCTTCTTGAATTCCACCCCTGGAGATGGCTCTGGAATGGGAGGTTCTGGAATGGGAGGCTATGGCAGAGATGGAATGGGTATGTATAGTTTTGTATTTGAGGTGGGGACATCTTGCTCTGTAGCCCTGGCTGGCCTGAAACTCACAACCCTCCTGCCTTGGTGGTTCAGCATATCCCTCCCAAACCTGGGTTTATAAACTTTTTAGAATAAGCAGTGTTGGCTAGTTTGGAAACCATCCTGTCTGTTACTTTTTAATGTGCAGATAATCAAGGTGGATATGGATCTGTTGGGAGAATGGGAATGGGGAACAACTACAGTGGAGGATATGGCACTCCTGATGGCTTGGGAGGTTACGGTAAGTCTATATTGAGGCAATATCTTTCACTAAACATACAGATATTGTGATTTGTGTGGACATCTCCTGATGGATGTTCTTAATGTCTTTTTAAGGTCGTGGTGGTGGAGGCGGTGGAGGTTACTATGGGCAAGGTGGAATGAGTGGAGGTGGATGGCGTGGGATGTACTGAGATCACTTCCAACGTACAAGCCCTAACAACATCGGTCTACTAGACTTTCTTACAGATTGAATTTCTTTTGTATTTCAAGAACTTTATAATGACTGAAGGAATGTGTTTTCAAAATATTTGGTTAAAGCAACAGATTGTGATGGGAAAATCTGTTTTCTGTAGGTTTTATTTGTTGCATACTTTGACTTAAAATAAATTTTTATATTGAAACCACTGATGTTGCTACTTTTTATATATAGGTACTCTTAAAGATGTGCTGCCTTCATAAGATTTGGGATGATGTATTTTACTGTTAGCTCTACAAAAGGTAGCATACCAGTGTTAGAGGACAAGTCTAAGCAGACATTTGGAATAGAGCTTGAGTAGTTAGCTAACTTTCTGTCCTGGACACAATGTAAATAAAAAGCCTAAAGATGTGTTCAGGTGGCTTCAGGAATTTAAGTTCAGCTAATTCTGTATTCCCTTTTCAGTCTCATTTATCAAGCATAGCTCTGAATAATTTAAGAGTCATCTGAATTCTAAATAGTCACAATTGTGTTATGAATTATGAACCCAAGAGGGTGAGAGTATCAGTTGAAAATACAGCCCTAGATTTTAAAATTCTCATAGCACTTGACCAAGATACCAAAAATGTTTCCAAAATTTGAGTTTGTTGGAGTAGCTAAGAGTCAGGAAGAGCTTAGTGTGTAAATACACGGGTATTTACTATGATAGATGTACTCTTATGTTCTCACCCTAGAAAAAGTGTTTAATTGTGTAAATGTCTACATTTAGGAAAATGTAACAATGCTGCAGCTGGATTTTGCATTTGATACTGACATTATTTCATTTCTGTGTAAGCAAGGAGAAGGTGCTTTCTAATCTTAACACTTTGATCAATGTGGCTTTTCCCCAAATTGGCTAATGGATCAAATTGAAACCTGTCAATGTGAACTCAGTTATTCAACTTGTTACTTGTTTTTTGCTAGAAATGTTATTCATGTAATAAATATCAACATGGGAGATAAAGGAATGTTGTCTATTCTAGAATGTTGTGTCAGTTATTGGTTATAATACACATTGGTAGAAAGTGTGGTGGTACATGCCTTTAATCCCAGCACTCGGGAGGGAAGTAGAGAGGTGGCAAGTACTGTTGGATGCCAGATTGAGATCTCTGATAAAATAAAGGAGTGCCACAGCTTGTCACTTGAAGCCTAAGTCCTGAAACTGAGTTTGCCTTTCTAGTTTGGGACTGAGGGCTTCACAGAGCCTACCACTAATGAGCTATTCTGTGTGACTGGCAGAGGTCAAAAAGCACTTCAAGAGTTACCTTCTTAAATTTCAAAGGAGGTGGCTGGAGAGATGATTCAGTGGTTAAGAACACTTGCTGCTCATTCAGAGAACCTGAATTTGATTCCCAGCACCTACATCAGCAGATCACACCTCACTGTAGCTCCAGTATATCCAGTACCTTTTTCTAGTCTCCTGGGCCACCTGTACATACATGGCATACACTCACACAGACACACACAAACAGATAAAAACAAATCTTTAAAGCAATAAAAGTTGTTAATGTCTCCAAAAATTGACATTTATTTTAAAAACATTATAGATTAGAATTACAATTCCTTGGCACCATGATTACAATTTTGTGGTAGTACTGGCTTAGGGTAAGTAAGGGAATGACAGAAGTTTTTGCAAAAAAAAAAGTTGTGAATGTTTCATGAATTGGGTATCTTAAATCTAGATTTTGTCTTAATTTTTTTGGGGGTGGTAATGCTGTGGATTGAGAACCCAAGGTTTTAACACACAGTAAGCAAACATATTACCACTCATCCAGACAGTGGGGATCAAGTTAATGTTGCCCCAGAAAAGGCCCATGTTTGTGACAAAAAGCATATGATAAAGTACTTGAAGTTTTTTCATTTATGCTCACTTTCAGCAGTCATAAAAATGTTAGTCTGTCCCTATCAATACTAAATGGTTCGAGAATATAATTCTTATGTTTTTCTAATTTTTGAGCCAGGTTTTCACCTAGTGTTGTGTGTATATATATTATATATAGTCTATATCATGGCTGATCTGGAATTCTAGGAATGGACAAGGCTGGCCTTGAATTTATAGCAGTCTTTCTTTCTTGCCTTACCATCTTAATTCTGTTAGTACTCAACAAACAACATTTTGGGGGGCATGGAACGGGTGGGCAAATTCCGTTGGAAGAGTGCCTGGCCAGCCTGCTAAAAGCCAGGGGTTCCATCCCCAGCACCACATAAAACACCACACAGATGTAATCTCAGCAGCTTGGGAGGTGTGGAGGTCAGAGAGTCAGTTCAAGGTCAACATCTGCTACACACCAACTTGGGTTACACGAGTTGCTATTTCCAAAAAGGGGTATCTCAAAAAATGGTGAAAATACTGGTTTTGTAATTTTGGCAATTTGCTATATTTCAGTAATTTTGGGGGGGTTTCAAGACAGGGTTTTAATGTATTGTTTTGGAGGCTGGCCTGGAACTGACTCCATTGACCAGGCTGGCCTGGAACTGACAGAGATCCGCCTGCCTCTGCCTCCCGAGTGCTGGGATTAAAGGTGTGCCTCACCAACGCCCAGCAGTATTTCAGTAAATTTTACAAACAAAAAAATTCTAAAGATTAAGAGATCAGAAAAGTGCCCAATCACTAAACTATTTTAGGAATGTAAAATCTCTATAGAGTTTATAGATTTAAAAGCGCAAGACTTAAATTTAAGATCTTGAATGGTCTTGGCTTAATTTAATATTTTTCTGCTTGAAAAAATAAACCACTAACTGCCTAAGGCCATAGCATAACGGTACATGAGTGAAATTACTGTAGGCAGGTGTAAACACTGCAATGTAATGTTTCCTATAAGTTTTCTAAGAGACGTGGGGGGTGGAGAAAGTTAATCTGCTCATAGCATAGGCAGAGTTTTTAATGCTCCTAATTTTTACTGATTAGAATCATTAAAAGCCTGTGGTCTCCCTCCATCCCTCAGAAAGGTCGTTGTCATCTCTGGGGTCCAACCCTTTATAAAAATTAGCATCTGTGACAAGGATGGTGGTTATATTTAACATCCCTCAAGTGTAGAGGGAAAGCTGGTCCTTTAATTCACTATATGAAAGGTATAGGCAGGTATGGGATAAAATTATTGGCCTTGTCCACTGTAGAAAGAGTGAAAGAAATACAATACAATATAATTAGAATCTTACCAGACAAGACTAGACAGGCCTGGTATGGAGGCACACATCTATGATCCCAGTACTTCAGAGCTGAGGCAAGGAAGTCCATGGTCAAAAAAAGATGTTCAGTTAGCATATTGTCACAGAGTGAGTGCATTTCCAATCTTTGAGAATTGTGAAGCTTTTAAAGTGCATTAAGAGAATTATGGGCACTAAGTGCCAACTTGACAGTTCAGAACACAAGCTGAGGCCTTGTTTTCAAGGCCTCTAGAAGGTAAGGCAAAAGTGCATTATTAGCTCTGCTGTCCGGCCTTTCCATAAGGATTCAATGATTGTTCCAAGTAGTGACAAAACATGCTATCTAAGATCTGGGTAAGTGCAGAAACAATATTAGCTGTACAACTTAGAATCCTGTGTGTTAGCTGGAGTAGCTGGAGGAGAGGTCCAGTGTGGACTGTTCTACACTGGTCCTCACACTCATTGCAGGTGCTTCTGTGCAGGGAGATTGCGGTCCTGTGTCACGGCACATTAGAGGAGCATCTCTGAATGAGCATTGCATGACAGGAGTCACAGACTCGCACTGGCTTTGGTGAAGAAGGCAAAGGCAGCTCGTTGTCAGAGCAGGCATTACAGAAAATTTCCCCACAGTTCCTACAGTGGTGCTATTAAATTGGAAAATTAAAAGAAAAAAATTAACTTGAATTAGAAGCCATTTTTGTTGCCAAAATGTTTGGGCTCATTTTCACCCCTCTTACCTTTCTTTTGGAGAGTGAAAATTCCTTCTCACAAAGCTTACAGTGTGTTGCCTCTTTGTCTTTTAGCCAGACCAGTCCCTAATAGCAAAAGATGAACATTAGTGTTCAAATCAGAAACACTTGAACTTAGCTTAAAAGCATGAAAAAAGCATGAAAACAGAAAAGGCATTTTTAACAACTCATTTTTCAGGGAGCCACTTCTGTTCAAAATAAAGGAACCCAAGAAAGAAGGCGTTCAAGCAATCTCAGAAAGGTCAGAGGAACTTAAAAATATCAAGACAGAAGTGCCTAGGCCGTGTGTGTGTGTGTGTGTGTGTGTGTGTGTGTGTGTGTGTGTGTGTGTGTGTGTGTGTGTGTGTGTGTGTGTGTGTGTGTCATAGTCAAAGTAATGAACCACCTAACTTGGCATTTAATAGAGGTGTTATGTTGTCGTCATAGAAGAATGAGAATTTTCTGGTGTTGAAGTAAAACAGAAAAGAAAATAAATGAAGTGACAGGTAGTTGACATCAGGAGAAATAATAAGGGTGTGGTAATGACAGCTTTTAATTCCAGCACTCAAGAGGCAGGAGGATGCCTGAGTTTGAGGCTAGTCAGGGTTATAGTGAGAATCCTGTCTAAGAAAAAAGTTTATTGAGGGTATTTAAGGAAAAGATGAGTTTGAGTGAGCAAACAGGTCCCCCACCACATCCAAGGTGAGAAAACATGTTGTAGCATGGCTACAGTGTTTGCCTAGTATATGCTAAGCCCTTTCAGTTCCATTCCCAGTACTACAAAAAGGGGAAAGCAGTATGACTTGCACATTGCTTTGAATACAGACCTAGATGCTAGAAGAAATAGCTGCAAGAACTGGAAGCAGCACCCTTTTGGGGCAGGAGCTAAGGTAGGTTAAAAGCAAGAGAGCAAACATTTTTTGCAGTTTGAAATCTTTTTTAGAATGTGGGCTGGGGGGCTGGAGAGATGGCTCAGAGTTTAAGAGCACTGACTGCCCTTCCAGAGGTCCTGAGTTCAATTATCAGCAACCACATGGTGGCTCACAACCATCTGTAATGAGATCTGGTGCCCTTTTCTGGCCTGCAGGCATACGTGCAGACAGAACATTGTATACATAATAAATAAATAAATCTTTAAAAAAAGTGGAAGGGTCAATGAAGTCGGAGAGTCATTTAAAAAAATGTGGGCTGGGGCAATGGCTCAGCCATTTAGAGTGCTACTGTTCTTCCAGAGGACCCAAGTTCAATTCCCAGCATCCACATGACTTACACGTTTCTGTAACCCCAGTTCCAAGAGATTCAACACCCTCTAGTCTCTCTGTCTCTCTCTCTTTTTTGGTAGTTGTTGGTTCAGAGTGTTGGCTGGCATCAACAGCAATTACATAATCTAGGTTCTAGAACTTTTAAAATAACTTTTCATGTAACATTTTGATTAAAAACTTAAATGGGCATTTGGAATAGAGAGCCATCACTCACTGATACTGAAGTGCTGACCTGATAATCTCATGTCATGGGAGGATTCTTTCAGACACATTCTAGTCCTGTCAAAGCAGCCTTGTGTGCATCAGAGGCCTATTTTAGAAGTCATCCAGGATATATTATCTACTAAAGTAGCACTACAGTGTCATTTTTCATCCTTAATATATCCTTTAGCAGGTACTAAGTTATCCATTTCCACTTTTTAAAACATTTCAGCAAGCATAGTGATTCATGCCTTTAACCCCAGCCCCCCAAGAGGCAGAGGCAGACAGATCTCCTTCCCAGGACAGCCAGGTCTACATAGAGAAACCCATCTTGAAAAAGGAAAAAATAAACAGTGGAGATGCTAGTAGAATAGAACAGCACCACCTACACTCTGTACTTTGTATGCACCCTTTTGGTGCTGGGACCAAATCAAGGCCTTCTCAATACCCCAGTTTCCAGCTATTCTGGTTTACCGACACCTTTTTACTCACCTGTAATGCTTTGTTGGCTTCTTTTATGTCGTCTATTTTAAGTTTGGATCTAAAAGCATTACAAACAAGTTCAAGTTTTAGTATGCATATAAATACAGTACACCTAACATTTCATTGGGAAGGTGTTGATTTTT